TAAACTGTATGAAGATACTAATCATATACAGGAGGCCCTTTTCAGCAGCCCAACTAATTTGCAATGGTACTGAATATGGGAAGTATCTTATGGGGACAGTCAGTACCAGACAAAAATTAATAATTATCCTTTCAGCATTGAGCATGATAGAGGATGGGGCAACTGGGAGTAAAGGGACTAATAGCAGAGCAATCTGGACGCACAGATGGTGCTACTTGTTCCATGTTGTCTGTTAATCATCTTATATTGAAAGAGATTCAGTCAGTGCTGGAAGTGTTTATAGGTTCATCACTAGTGATCTCACAAGCCCAAATAAAGCTTCCAAAGCAATGAGCTTTTTTCGCTTTAATGTATACTGGGTGAATACACCCACATGGAGATCTGAAAATGCAAGTCAAATTTAACTCACAGTACAGGCTTCTGGTTCCTATTTGTTTGCTTTAGACCATAGAAGTATTTTTCCCAATTCTATCATGCTATCTTCTAACGATTCAAATATGAGAGAGCAAAGAAAAAATTATATCATTATAATTTTGTCAATGTTTGAACATCTGAATATTGCATGTAGCAAGCAAATTTAACACTAAATAAAGAATCCTCAGAGAAAGAGAGGAGCACATTTCACAGCAATATGCTCAACATTTAAATTGTACACCACAACTGACTTTTTGTTTCTTAAACAGATACACATTCATCTATAACCAATGTGTCATAATACAATGGAACCTCAGATCTAATGACTTGTCTAATTAATACAAGCCACCTTTCCAATATTTCTGAATTCCAAACAAGGAATGTGTTTTTACATAAAAATAACAATTGTAGCAATTTGGTATTTAAGGTAATTGTAGCAGAAATGCTAAGTCAAGACTTGAACCAATCATTGAGCAGCTGGTGGGAAGGCAGGGCCAACCCAGGGGAGCTCAGGTGTATGCAATGCATCTGAGTGACTGGAAGAGGTGGAACCAGGATCCACCCCGTCCCAGACTTCATTTAAGAGTTGGCAGAGGAGACAAGAGGTGCTCTCTGGGGGTTGTTCTGTCTGAGGCTTTCTAACGGTATGTAGCATCCCTTCTTTATTTCTGTCTATGGCTGCTGCATTTGAGCAAGTTCTTCCTTGCTGCAGCCTAGGGCCTTGCTACTCTGCTGTCATTGTTGTGCTTTCCATTGCACTGCAGTCATGTTTACCACTTGGACAAGCTGGCGTATAATGATTTCACCTCATAAAGTGTTCTAATTTGTCTGCGTTAGTTCACCTTCCATTCCTAAGGGGAGGAAGAGACATCCATGCAATGGAAGCCACGTGTAACAGAGTGTCACAGTGCAAATTTAATAGAATAAATCTCTTGAAGTACTCCTGAATTATTTAGACAGTTCTAGTATAAAAATAACTTCTTTCCAATGCCAAGCCCAACTCTAATTTCCTTCTATCATGCTACAGATCTGCCTAGCACTATAACTTAGGAAGGAGCTTAACGGTCTCTCCAATGAAGTGGAGAAGTGTATAACAGATCAAGAGGACATTCAATTCCACAGGGCTAACTGGAGGATCAGTTTATTTGAAATATTAGTTACTGCCTGAAGTTACATAAACTATGAGTAAAACAGATTAAATCAGGAGACAAAATCCTGATGCAAGGAGGTAGTAGAAGTCTTGAGAGAATTACAGCAGGAAGATAAATGTTGTAAAAACCTTGAAAAGTTTGAAGAGTGACAGCCTCCCTTAAATATGTTTTTTGTTACCTTCTATGAGAAAGTCATGAGTCACTGTTGACCCAAATCTTCTTAAATTGTTGCTAAGAAATTGCTGCTAATAAAAAACAGTAATTCAGAGCAAAAAGCTCATCTCTAACTGTTTAGAAGTACTACTTTTTATTACTTGCTATTTAGAGAATGGAAGGCAGCCAATAAAATTCTCAATAGAGCCCAACATCCTCACAATAGCAAGTCATCTTATTTTCCATCTCTAAATAGCACAATGTGTTGTCAAATTAGTTTCTCCCTTGCTTCAACTACAATTTATTATATCAATCTTCTTAAGTATTTAAAAATTAACATAAAAATTCCTATTCAGATTCCTTTAAATAAAATCTGAGCATAGACAGTATTGTCTGACAACAATGGAGTTATTCACATATCTACTTTCAACAGCTGCATTTGGAACAAAAGCAGCCTGAATGCAGGATATATTCTTAAGTTATCTACAGCCAGGTAGAACAGAGAGGTATCTTCCCTCTTGCAGCACTACACAAAAAAGGACATAGTGTCTTTAATAGATAAGAGTTTGCATGGGTGTGCTCAATAACTAAGGCTGATTTATTAAATATAAGAGATACCATTGCCATGTGATAGCCTTTGATTTACGTGGTTTCTAAGTCACAGCTACTAAGACTTATGAGCTCCCATTTTGTCCAGGTCATAAAGGCTGTGTATTTTAGATGGCATGCAATAACATCACTGCATCATTGTATAACCTCCCCTGAGAAAACCATGAGAAAACAATGGATATTATTGCAACTGAAATGTAATGAGTAAGACAGATTCTGAAGAAGCAGATAGCTAAAAGGGGGGAAAAATTACAGGAAGGTAAAAGCTTGTGAGATTGAGGGGCTTGCTGACCTGATACAGGTATCAAAAAAGTCCTGTTTAAAGATTCTGCCGGAAAGCGAAACAATTTTGGCTTTGGGAGAGAATGAAGAATTACTTATCCAAGATGTATTTTCCAAGATGCTTTTGAGGTAAAGAAGAAATATTGTCAGGATGCCATACCAGCATTGGACAGACTGGAACAAACTGACTGATCATTAGAGTAGCAAGTCAGCCACATCAGCTTATGTTCTGACAGGATTTTAATGCAATGGTAAGTTTTAAAGTATCTTAGCAGTTCAGACACCCGATTCTTGATAGCTGGAGGGCAGTAAACATTGCCAGAAGGACTGGAGGTGATATGGGGAATCATAAGTATACAGCCTTTATTCCAGTTTATCATTTTGTACGAACTATATCAGAACTAAATATACAAGGGAATGTAGCTTCCCTGCAGCTAAACTGCAGTGGTACTTGTTAGATTAAAGCATAAAAATGTGCTATGATCTCCAAGACAAACTTCACTGTATTAACAAACAGCACTGGTGAATGAGCTGCAAGTCAAAGCTCAACACATTGTTATGGCAAAAATAAGCAATAGTTCCTGCTGTAACAACTCTCAAAGACAAGCTACATTGTGTTGTCAAAGAAAAATTGTTTTCTTGTCATTTACTTCTGATTTTTATACTTGGGCACATAAAACAAGCATTCTGCTTTCTATAGTGTGTATGCAGAAAAGGAAGGTTCTATAATTTTTCAGCAAAGTAACAAAGCAGTTCTACTTTCAGAACGTATTCTGCATTTAAAAAACAGAGTTATAGAAGTTCTATTGAAAATTATTTACTTAACAGTTAAATTCAGTGAATTAAATCTGCCTGCATTCAGAGCCTCCTTCCATTACTTAATTACTTTCTATCCTGAAGAAAAACAAACAAGACTAGCAAAGGTTTCTGCACTTCCTGAATGTAATTTTGTGTTTAAGCTATCTACATGTAATTCCATGTATAAGCTATAATAACAATTGTAAGTATTGGCCTGTTGAAGATCTGCATGTGCAATAAATCTGACATGCAAAAACCTGAAGAAATGTCTACAGTGACACAGCTGATACCTCCATTCAGCACTTAGCTGAAGAATTGTTTTATTTTCAGTCTTATTAATAGTGCTTTATCTTAACATCGCTATCATTACAACATACTAAGGGTATATTAAAGAAGCACAGACTCTAATTTTCACACTTTCTACAGATCATGAATAACACCTGAATTACAGTCACCACCAAAGTAGAAGCTCAAATTCACTAAGGAGCAAAGGTAAGGAAGATAAATAATGAAGTCACCCACTTCTCCACTGAAAGTCTATTTTTTAATATTGTATGAAGCAGATACAGAATGAGAAAATAGGATAATGCCTCAGCTGTGTGTTATTTAGAGACAGAAAAAATATTTAGATGAAATATTTTTAATGGAATTGGAAGGGTTTTTTTTTTTTTTTTTTTTTTTTTAAGAGGGATGGAGGGAGAAAGAGGGTCTCTGATAAGCTAAGCCTATTATGGGCACGAACATCTTATCTTATACAGTCTATTCCTTAATATTTCTGTGCCTAACTTTTTAAATGTTATATGGGTGTAATGCACTTTGTAATCCATGAGCAAAAATCAGAATAGTCACCTTGTGTGCTTCAAAGCTTGGGTTTATTTTATAAATTAATACCAAACTTATGAAAAAGACTTTTTTTTTTTTTTTCCCCTGCCAAATTCATACTGGTTTTATTGCTTTGTCTTCTGGCTTGATGCACTGTACCCCTACTGTGTTTCTGTGAAGCTGCTTATTATACGTGGCTATTACCCAAAACTAAAACAACCATTATCTTTGGAGAATCAATATAAAATTTCAGGCTATCTTTCAAATACATCCCTTTATCATCTTATGGATTTTTGTCTCCAGGTGGGCTTACTACAGCTTTTTCTATTCAAAAGTAATTTGGAGGCCTATTGCTGTTTGACACCAGTATCAAATTTGAAAGTAATAGGTAACAACTTCAGGAACTGAGAGAAAAAAATCCATAGGTCAACTAAATGAAACCCAAACTGATATAGAGCATAAAAAATAAAGCAAAACACTAACAGAAAGATGACAAACCACATGTATAATACAGGTAGAGGAAGGAGAGAAAATTACACAACCATTTTTCCCATCAGTGTTCTAACAGAATACCTGTGCCATCTATCTGCACTTCTGTACAGCAAACAACTGATCTTACTTTGTAATCAGTGAGCCACTTTTTCATGCATAGGTTTATCATTTTTGTCATTTCTATGTTATCAACACATCTATACTTTTTAAACATAAATGATTATAAATTTCCGAGTTTGTGAGAACATCATATAAAAGTACTATCCAGGAAAGTCTTACCTAGTACCGAGGATTGGCTCCCCCAAGGCTCCCAAAGCAGAATAGTCCATGCCATAGAAATTCAGCCCTAGAAGTATTTTATTTCTCCATTTTGAATCAGGATCCAATACTTGAATACAGGCTCGTACCCAGGGCAGTGGGGAATTTGGACCAGGTCTGTTGAGTTAGTAAAAAAAAAAATCAAACAAGCTGTGAGAGAAGGTACACATTTGCCCTCATTAGCCTTATCTTTTGAACTGGTGTAATTGTAAAGTGGTACACAAAAAAAAAAAAACAGTGAATGTTAATTTACAATCCTACAAAGGTTCCATGCCTGCTCCTAGATGGCTTGAACTACTGATGTACATAGGGTGCTTGCCCCACTCAGCTTGGTAACTCACTTCTGTGGTGAAGATACATGAAACTTTTACCGTAGGTTTCCACCTAGCATGTTTTCTCTGTCATGGAGCTTTGCACACTGCCCACAGAACACTTCAGAAATCTGTACAACTTCAGTTGTAAACAATACAGGTTTCAGTGACTGCTTAAGGTTTGCACGCTACTTCTGCTTGAAACCCCAAACAGAGAATTGCCTACTAACAACAAAAAGCTACATGAATGAAAAAGTGTAGCTAGCACTAGAATACTCAGAGCAGTTGAACTGTTCTATATGTAGTATCAGGATTTCAGGCTAATTCGCTTCCTAGCTCATCAGGGACAATAGCAACAATTTCTACTGCAAAAATTCAATAACATGATAAAAGTAAAAGCATGTTCTAATCTTAGAACTATAAACATCCTAGGATCTACTTTGCTAATTATCTGCCTCAAGGCCTTTAAGATATCAGTGACATTAAAACCATGTGCTAACAGTACAGAAATTTTGCTGTATGTGCTATCCTGCATTTAAAATACTCAAACCAATCCAAGTTAATTCAAAAGAAGATCATCTGAACAATTTTTTTCAAATCCTCTCTCAGAAACTTTATTTCTCAGAAAATGTATTTTGAACACAATGGGTGTGTTAACTGAAAACTGCCTTCCTCACGTGTTGAAGTAAGAAAAAAGCCCAGCTCCAAGCCAGATCAAAGTAGCTTAATGTAGCAGTGGATGTATTAAGATGAGACTGTGCCATAATGGATCTTGTGATTTTAACGTGCCATAAAGTATGGTGAAGCTTCACCATACAGGAAAGATGGTAGCATACAGTATAGTGTATCTCTAAATGCATCCAGGGTTCTACATAGGTTTGAAAAGTCCATATGAAAGTCCTTAGCATCTCATCTTCATATATGAGATTTATATAGAGGAAAGCTACAATGTTATCTCTATGCTGCATATTTCAACAGAAGAGGGTAACAAATAACTGTTTTAATTTCAAATATGTTCCTTTTCCCTAAGGTGCTAGGCTTGATGATCTAGAAAAAAGGTCTGGGGAAAGAGATAAGAGATAGGGAAACTTAATAGAAAAGAAGTTTAGTCTCTTCAGAAATAAACCTGTGTAGACACTATCAAAATGCTAGAATGCTACAGGTGGCAGAGGTCTTAGTGATGTAATACATGCATTTCTGCATCTGCCAGCTTACCACGAATGTTAACTGTAGACAACCATACTGAAGCAAGATAAATTGAATCACCCTGGAAGTCAAAGAGCATGTCTTTATCTGCAATTTGGAGATGAAATGAACCACACTTCTGGAGAATGATGACGTTAAAAGTCTGAGTTTAAGGATCTCTCAACTTGATTGCTGTTCCACTTCCAAAGACATAAAAATCGTAAGTTCCTGAAAATGGATATTCACATACAAGAGTGGAGTTTTGTGTTGCTTTTCAGTTAGATAAGTTGGTTCATTGAGTTGCTCCACAACAGCTGTAAAAGTACAAAGAAGGGACTACTAGAGGAACATAAAAACGTGTTTAACCATGATCACGTCAGCAGTGCTGTCAAAACACAGTCTGCTGCCTCATGAGGAATCAGACAAGTGCTTTGTCAATTGTGCTTTAAAGCTATTCTTTCCAATGATGTGTACTGGATTATTCTGTACCATTGTGCAAAATTCTGTCAAATAACTAAAAGTGAAAAATTCACCTGGAAACAAGTGTCACAGTACCAATAAAAGAATAATTATTTAGCTCAGGTGCAAAGCCTTCTAAAATACTATGTGCCAAATCTTCACTGCAGCTAAATCCAAACTATTTGCTGGTTCAAAAACCAGCTGTTCTAATTACTAATCCAGAACTTTAGTATCTGGTACAGTCAATACATGCTATCTGCTCAGTGAAAATTTAAAAAATGACGAACCTCACATTGTAGATTTCATAAGGGCATAAATAGGAATCAGTTACTTCAGTTTTTTGTTTTACTAGTGTTAGAATCTTACCTTTGTGGTGTTGAATAGTCATATGTCATGAGACTGAAGCTGTCTACTGCTGAGGCCAACTGATCAAATTCTTTCTTTGTGAACATTCCTGGCTGGTTAGTCCTTTTAAAACAAATTTTAAAAAGAAATAATTAAAAAAAAAAAAAGGAAAAACCAGAAAGAAAAATTATTTTCACAACCTGGCTGACATCCCTGCCCAAAGCGTGTGGGTTGGAACTAGGTGACCTTTATGATCCCTTCAAACCACAATCATTCTGTGATTCTATAAAATTGAATGAACCCATTCTGTCCTCAGTTTGAGGAAATTCCACTCCATGACCTTCATCACACAGAAGTTTAGCTATGCCTTCAGTATACCATTCCATGAATTCTTAACCCCCCTCTGACTATTTTAATTAAAAACAAGTAACTTTATTCATCATTTACAAAATCTAGCTTCATGAGATGAGAGGATATGTTTTTGATAGTTTTGGATTCATAGAAACGCTGGACTTTGTTAACTATTCAACCCAACCAATTACTGCACACGAGTTCTGAGTATGTTTCAAAAAGAATTCAAAACATCAAACTAGCAATGCACAAAAGGAAGCCTTAAGCACATGGCAAAGATGCAAGGAGATCACTGTCCTCAGCCAGAGGGCTCTGAGGCACAAGTAGAGAAGACGTGTGTTATCCTAAATAGCCTGGGAGAGTAGGGTTTGCAGGGGAATCCTACAAATGAAAGAGTAGTTTAACATCTACAGCCTCTTCTATAGAAACGCATGAGAATACACTTGAGAACAGAGGGGAAGATACTGAAGACTTCACAACTTTCCAGTGATATTACTTTTCCTAGAAATTAGCAGATGACCCCTATCTAGACAAAGCACAGATTAAAACCACTCATGGTCCAACTCAACTGTAAAATCCAAAAAGATGCTCAGATGCAAGTAATAAAATGAAAAAAAAAAAAATCACTTGTTTTGACCCTTATCGCTTTTGGATCAGTGTCTAAATTCTTCATTCAATATTATGTGTTAAATGGATCACCAGAGCATAACTGCATTCATTTATCAGTTTGAAAGGACACTTTAGGAAAGTAGTTAACAGAGTACAGGTTATAAAGTGGGGCAGAATAAATCATTTAACATATGTCATATTATAGGTGAGTAAAGCATGAATGACATTTGCAAGTCAGGTCAATGAATGAACCAAATACACACTGGAACACGTAGCTCAAATTTGTACAAAGCATAGCACTGCTCTAGCAGGTTCAGGTTTTCAGAACCAGTGATATAGCTGTCACATTAAAAAGAAATTCCAACCTTTTCTTTCCGAGGTTTTAACAAATTAATATAAATGTTTGCTTCTGGAAGCCATTGCTGGATCCTAATTTTTTGGATAGTTTTCTGCTTGTGATTTGCTGCAACTGCAAGCTACAGCTGTTTTCCAAAATAAACAGAATGAAGGACATTTTTGAAATAATGTCATGGCAACCTGAATGCCTGCAGGCAATGCAATTCCCCAATGAAAACCCCAACAAAACACATTTTCAATAAATTGATTTTGATTACTCATGACAGGAAAAGCATAAAAAGTAATTATAATGTGCATTAGATATTATAGTGAGTTAGATTGCATTATAGATTAAGCTGGGTAGTATTTTAATGAAACTTGGGTGTAGAGGGCAAGTAATGTATCCACTTTTCATATGTATTGTCAAGGAATGTGAAAAAAATTGAGGTTAAATGGATATAGTCATCATTTTCTGCAAAGCAAGCTTGTAACCAAACTATTTTAACTACAAAGGAAATCCATTTGAGAAAAAGAGCATAAATTTCCAACTTAGAATAAATCTGGCAGTAAGGATGATGCTTTCATGGATGGTGTTTAAAAAAGTTCCTAAGGATAAAAACAAGTATTTTGGATACTTGCAAGGATAAAACAAGTATAGCTATTATTCTTCTTATTTAAGGTTTTCCAAACACTAAATTAATTCTAACTTAAAGGCAGGTATGTTCTACTGGGTACATCATTGAGAAAACCACCACAAAGAAATTCAAGAGACTCTGCACAGAAAATACAACGGAAGTTCATGAGAGAAAAAGTTTTTAATGTAACCCAAATGTCTGTCATTCTTTTAAGCTCTAGATATAATTTCCAAAATATTCAGCAAAGTGACAGAGTCCATCAGCACTTACTTACAGTGTACAAGATACACACTAAGGATACCTGGTTATTGTCGGAGGACTACAACCCTTGGTGATTTTTTCTGCTTATTATCAATGCAACACAAATGCAAAAGGACAGAAGGCACGTACATGAGCATGACTGGCAGGAAAAGCAGATGATTTACTATATCTCAAAGTCTCTTTGCTTGGAACTAACCCTGACCTCTGAAGTGCTTCATTTTCTTTATCTTTGAGTTCACCTGAAGATAGCGCTGGATAAGATAGTGAACGTACAGGATAAGATAGTGAAGTCGTACACTAAATAGAAATCTACTGTGTGGGAAAAAAAACAACAAAAAAAAACAACAAAAAAAAACACAGGTCCCGCTGGTCTACAAATATACTGAAATTATGTAATGAGTATTATGAATGTGAAACAATCTGGATTCAAGAAGTAAATTTAAAGCAGTATTCATAATAGCTTACAGTAAACCCTTTTTATTACTATTGTAAGATTGTTCGTGTTTTTTTGCCTGAATATCTAATGCAAATTTCATTCACCTTCCTTAACATTCTTCTCAGATGCACTAGTGTTCTTACTTGATTCTTACATCAATTGTTCAGCACAGTTAACTAGGAAGCTTAGTAACTGCTGACAATAAAACTCCAGCTACTCAGATTTGGAACTGGGCATCTAATCAAGCCTAAATTTGCATGTACGTGGACTATAACACCACCACAGAGATGACTTTTACTGCACTCTAGTTACTGCTGTGAAACAGCAAGCCCCAAGAGAAAACAGCAAAAGAAACCCCATATACTATTACAGAATGTGCAATCATTTTTTTCACCTGGACATGCTATCCTTCATGACATACAGCACATGCGCCCAGGTGCTGGATGAACTTGCCTATCTTGCCTGTCGTTTTCTAGCTAACTACTGCATTATGAAGAGAAAACAAGCACTCCACTTTTTGAGCATAATGTTTAAGAGACAGAAACATTTCTAAGAGGTGACACAGTCCAATTCTTGTTTGGACTACAACAGCTGTACAGGACATATCAATAGCTTTGCTTTAAAGCAGTCAGTTTCCTTGAGAAGTGACACAGCTTTCACCATGTGCTCCAAAGAGATTAATTTTCTTAGCTAAAATACTGATTTTCCTTTTCAAACCTTATTTCTACAACCATTCTTCCCATTTTTAGCCAAGCCACTTTTCACTTGACTAAGAAGCTGTGGCAGATTTACACTGATGGCCAGTTGAACTCCACCACAACCACTCTCTTATACTCACTCCTCAAAATAAGAGGAAGAAAAACATGATCAGGGAGGCAGGGGGAAAGACTCACAAGTCGAGATGGGGACTACTTGACTAAAGAGGAAAAAAGAGAAAAAAAAAAACCACAAAAAAAACAGCAAAGGCCATGTGGAAGTAAAGAGGGAGAAAACAATTATTCTCTACTTCCCACTAGCAAGCAATGTTCAGCTATGTCTTGATAAGCAGAGCCTTAATATGCATAGTGATTTTTCAGGAGGACAGTCATCTTCATAACAAGAACCCACCCTTCTCTTTCTCCTTTTCCAGCTTTCACTTCTGAATGTGATGTCTTATGGCATGGAATTAGACTCTAGGTCAGACTGGATCACCTGCCCCAGCAATGTCCCGTCCCTACCTCTTGCCCATTCTCAGACTCCTGGCTCTTGGAGGTTGGAAGAGAACCTCAGTGCTGTGCCAGCACTGCTCAGCACGAGACAAAACTTCAGTGGGACAGCTAGACACTGTTCTAGCTACAAATACAGAGCACAGCATTATATGGAGTGTTGTAGAAACTGAACTCCATCCCAGACAGACCCAGTATAGAAGGTCTTTTAAGACTCTCCATTTTCATTTGTAGGCTTCTGACACAAATTTCTTTTAGACAATGCAGAAAAAAACAGCAATTTCCCTGAGATCGTAGCTCTTATTTGCATTCCTTATTCCATATATTCCATATTCCCTTCAGTTTGTTGTCACCTCCTGAGGGCTTACTGTTTTATGCATATAAAAAAACTACGATAGCACAGTACATAAATGTCAGAGACTCAGATGAAATCTCATTTTTCTAGCCATTTCTCTATACACGGCTTAGAATTTCACTGTCCCTTTTGATTATGCTATCCTTTTCAAACCTAAGTGCAGGGTAGCTTGTATCATAGCTTAAGAATCTCTACGACCTGCACCTTCCAAATAGCATATGGTCATTTGTATCGAAATCCCCATTAGCGTTTTACTGATAAGTATTTCTATAGGGTTTTGACTTTGTCATCTTTCATACTGAAAGACTGGAAAAAAAAATATTTCAACCATGCAAGCCACTTCATTTACTTTCAAATGAATCTACATTTTCAATTACTTCTTGTCTCACTATGATTACTCTCAAAATGAAATAAGATAAGAAAAAAAGGTCTTGTAACTGACTTCTATTCCTGCAGGTTTGAACTGCATTCTTGTTTGGCTACCTCACCTTCTCCCTCTCTTATAAGGGAGAGCTTTTCTTTATCCTCGTGTCTCTGAATAGTCTTTCATAATGGAAAGCTGATTGATTTTCTGTTTCCTCTATATGTTTATTTCAGAAGTCATCTGCTCAGTAATGACTTAATTCTCTTGTTGTGTGTAATTCTGTTTTCTCTGTAAACCAGCTATTTGCAAATCTTCCCTTCTCTGCTCTTTCATCACCATAGATCTTATTAGTTTTCATAGCTCCTCACAGTTAGCTGTTCTGAAGTATAATGCTATTGCATTTTATGAACAGACCACTGAATTCAGTTAATGCATGATCACTGAATACAAATGCACTGGTTCTTTCTGCATCCAGCCCATTCTACAGTAAACACGAGAAAGAGCTAAATCTCTGCTCTGTGGAGCATGCAATTCTAGGCATTGATAATGAAGCAGTTAAATGAATAAACAA